TACTGTATTTATAACTAGCATATCTCTAGTTACAGTCCCTGCATTGTAAAATGTAAGTTATACTTGCGAGGAGTGAACATTTAGACATAGAGAAAAAGTATCAAACGTATCTTGTGCAGAAACGTTAGCTTTTCTTTTACATGTGTGTGAAATCCAACAATATTTAATAAAAAAAAAATATCGGCCGATATATCGGAATATCGGATTTTAAAACCCAAAAATATTTGTATCGGTATCGGCCTTCAAAATCCTTTATTGGTCGGGCTCTACTTTCATTTCAAGCAGCTTCAGCTTGTGATTGTTGCTGTGGACCTGTGCCTGTGGTCATGTACCCTTCACATGTTGTTCCAAACCTATATTCCATGCAATTAAAGAGTGGCCACATTTACTGTTGTTCGTGAACTTTCGTAGGGGGAAATCCAGTCATTGCGATAAGAATCCATGGGATCAGAGATGACGCAAAATACACACTACGCGATCGGAAATGTTTCAGTTCGGAAATGCACATTCCCATGTACATTTAACCAGTGAGGGCAAAATATATCCCTCTGTAGATGTTTCAGTAGGTTCAAGTAACAAGAGCAATGCTCTGTTGTACAGGAAAGCCCTGACAAGATACCAGATGCTCTTCAGGCACATGTTCTACTGCAAGCATGTGGAGAGGCTGCTCTGTAATGTGTGGATCAGCAATAAAACAGCTAAGCAATATTCACTTCACTCTGCTAAGTGGTGAGACTACTGTACATACATTTAGTTTTAGTCTGTGTATCTTCAAGTGAGCATCGTGTTAAGTAGCTCTTGTTGATTGTAGGTTTGCTGCGGCCTTTGCATTAAGACAACGGATGCTCAACTTTGTTCAGAACATTCAGTACTACATGATGTTTGAGGTTATGGAGCCCACATGGCACATCATGGAGAACAACTTGAAGTCTGTGAGTCAATGAGTCAATCTGTCTGTCTAGATTTATATATGTTTAGAAAGAGATTTATAATATATAATTTATTAAAAATGAATTCACATTGTGTGCTTAAATCACTTGTCTTTTTTTAGGCCTCCAACATTGACGACGTGCTGTGTCATCACACCAGTTTCCTGGATAACTGTCTGAAGGACTGTATGCTCACCAATCCTGAGCTGCTGCGGATCTTCTCCAAGCTCATGTCTGTCTGTGTTATGTTCACCAACTGCATGCAGGTAAAATACAGACATTTTGGAGAAATAACTGAGAATACTAAAAACCTGTTTGGCAAATATACTGTCATTCAAATGTTTGCTGTCAGTAAGATTTATTTAAATGTTTGCATTTAAAGTCTCTTATGCCTACCATGAATGCATTTGATCAAAAGTACAGTGAAATAGTATTACAATTTAAAACAATTGTTTTCTGTTTTAATGCATTTTAAAGGGATAGTTCACTTTGAAATTAATTTTTGGTTGGTTTTAGCTTACCTCAAGGGCATCCGAGATGTAGGTGTCTTTGTTTCCACAGTAGTTTCAATTTTGATATTTTTAGGTCAAACCGTTCGTGTCTATCAGTCAAATAATGGAGATATACGGTCACCACGTCAAAGAGGATGCACAGAGAAGTCCAAATTAAACATAATTCAATGACTCGTAAATGTAAGTACACATTGATGGTCTAAGACACGAAACGAGTGGTTTGTGTGTGAAAACGAACAGCATTTACATAGTTTTTACCTCTTGTAACCACAGCCACTAAGCGTCCGCGCCCTCAGATCACTTGGACGTGGCTGTGATTACATCAGGTAAAAACCATATAAATACTCTTCGTTTTCTCACACAAACCGCTCATTTCGTGTCTTAGGCCATCAATGTGTACTTATATTCACGAGTCATTAAATCATGTTTAATTTGGACTTCTCTGTGTATGCTCCTTGAGGTGGTGAACATAGACCTGCATTATATGACTGACAGACAAGAATGGTTTGACCTAAAAATATCAAAATTGAAACTAATAAGGAAACAAAGACACCTACATCTTGGATGCCCTTGAGGTAAGCTAAAACAAACCAAAAATTAATTTCAAAGTGAACTATCCCTTTAAAATATTCCTGTGATGCAAAGCTGAATTTTCAGCACCATTACTCCAGTCTTCAGTATCACACGATCCTTCAGAAATCTTTCTTATAAGATGATTTGGTGCTCAAAAACATTTACTATTATTAGCAATTTTTAAAATAATTTTACTGCTCAATATTTTTGTGGAAACCGTAATACATTTTTTATATGCTGATTAGAAATGTCGGATTTAATTCACATATTTTTTTTTTTATCGAAAAGTATAAATCTTTTGTAACATTATAAATGTCTTTACTGTCACTTTTGATGATGCATTCTTGTTTGATTAAAAAAAGTAATTTATTTAAAAATAATATTCTTAATGACCCAAACTTTTGAAAGGTAGTGTACATAATTAGAATATAGATCTTCTAGCTAAACTTATTTTTTTGTTTTAATATTTAATTTTGCAGTTTATTCTTTAAGGTCAGGATAATGCTGGAGAGTTCATGTTGATTTGTTTTGCAGCGGTTCACTCAGAGCATGAAGATAGACAGCGAGATGAAGGCGGAACGGACAGACGAGGCTGAGAAAAAAAGACTGGCCACTAAAGTGAGTCACTGGCATTTAATCAGTAATTCTACAATACCGAAAATAAAAAAAAAGCTTTTTAAAAACAGACAACAAAAAACCCAAACAAATTAATCTTTTTATGTTATCTATTTGTCTTCATCTCAGTTCTTAGCTGAGTATGTGGATGCCCTCCAGTCTGACTCCGGGTTCGAGGGGACCATCAGCAAGTTTGACAGTAACTTCAGCACCTTATTGCTGGATCTTTTGGATAAGCTCAGCATTTACAGCACCAATGACTGTGAACACAGCATGATCAACATCATCTACAGGTGGGTTGTGGAAGGAACCTTTCAGTAAATCGTAAATGTATTAGTGCTTACTGATTTAACCTGGTCTTAAAGGGACAGTTCACCTAAAAATTAAAATTCTGTCATTTATTACTCATCCTCATGTCGTTCCAAACCTCGTAAAACTAATCCAAATGAATCGAGCGATTTAGTCTAAATTTTCTGCATGATGGCTTTATATGATGAACAGATTTAATTTAGGCTTTTATTCACATTATTCAAGCATCAAAATGGTAGTTGAGTAGCTTTCAATTGAGGGACCGAATGCTCTCAGATTTCATCAAAGAGATTTGCATTCCAAAGATGAACGAAATCTTACAGGGTTGGAATGACATGAGGATGAATAATTACAGAATTTTCATTTTTTTTGGGTGAACTATCCTTTTAAAAGTGATTATAGAAATGTGTAGCACAAGCTTTTGAAATCTTACTATTTAAGAGCTTAGACGATCCTCATTTAAATTCAGTCTTGAAGGTTTGATGAATAATGAGATTTTTTTATAGGCTGGACTTCAATGGCTTTTACACAGAGAGACTGGAGCGAATGGCCATTGAAAGGAGCCAAAAGACTGCTTCGTAGCATTGTCCATTTTGAAGTCTGCTGTGTTTTAAAAGTGTTCAATGTATTACATGGTGCTGTAACAAAGGACTTAAGAATTTCTCCTCTATAATGGAAATGTATTTAATGGTCTTATATAAATTCCATCTGACTAAAAACCAAATATAATAAAGTAAAAATGTTGCTTTGTCTTTTGTCCTTTATTTGTTTTTCTCTGCCTCTTATTCTAAACCCAGATTACTTTCATAAACTTATTTCGACTAATAAGAGAAGGAGGAGCCACAGTGTGGTATACTTTAATATGTCTCTGACAGTTATACAAACTTTTCCAGATTACAAAATCCAAATTATTACCAGTGCTCAAAATGGGACTACATATGACAATGTTGGCTTCTAGCTATGTAAAGAACAGCATAAATATGTTTGACAGCTGTTTGGGGAATTATTTTATGGGAACAAAATCTTTATTGTACTTAAAGGCTTAATCTTTCTACTTTATATAATTTATCAATCTAACAGTTAAATCAAGTGTGAGCTATACATATGTATATATAGTGATACAAATGGTGAATTATTTGACCAGTTTTCAGTTTTATACATTTTGTTCCTGAAATCCATCATTCTCTTGGTATTTTTGTATTATTATTATAATTTTTTAAGATGGAAGGTATCACAATTCTACTAAAATGTTTTGGACAACACGTGCTGAAGACTGAATTCTTCTCATCCAATTTCAAAATATGTATTTTTCTTCCAAACAACTAATTTTCTGAATTTAACTCAATCGATATGCGAAATCTGATCAAATTCCTTTTGACCAAGTTGGTTGAGTGGATTATTCAGTTACTAATAATACAGATAAAGATGCCAATTGCTGGTATTATTATATAATTTAAACTGCAGAAAAATGAATGCACACAGACTTCCAGCCAGTGGTCTCTGAACCATAGACTGGAAATAATAGATCTGAACGCGTAAACAGGCACAAGCGGAGGGATACAAACAGTACAAGTGTTCTGTCCATGTGGGACGCCGCTCAGCCAATCAAATTCGATGATCGGAACTACAAGTTAGGGAAGAGTGTGGTGCTTTCAAGCCGCACAAAAATCTGTTCGTCCTAAACTCGAGTGTGCAGAATCTGAACCCAGGCTCTCTGAAGGTAGTAGAAGAATTAATGATGTCCAATTACTTATCCCTCATAACATACAACACACCCAAACCGTTTACAATATGACAGTATGCTCATTTGACGTGTACAACACTAAGTTGATCTATGTGATTCGTTCAATGCACTGCTAGGTGGCGCTTGTGTCTCATCTCTTAAATTTTAATTTAAAATAGCAGAGATGATAATTTTACGTGTATTTGGGCAAACATTTATGTTATATAAAAAATAATTTCGTAATTTAAAGCCAATATTTGCGCATCATTTCTGCAAATATAAGTGAACTTGAACAGGTAGGCAGTCTGCCACTTTGTGCCAGAGAAGTCCACACCCTTTACAAACTCTAAAGGATAAGGGCACTGACTGCAATGAGCCCACAGTCTCACTTACAGAGAGACATCGTTATGAAAGTGCATTGAATGAAAGCTTGTTGTGCTTTTTACTGTCATGTTGCGCGTGGCAGTGGAATCTGCGGCGGGTTTGCCCAAGAAGAAACTGGGCAGTCCAGACCCCATCGCATCTGTCGTGTTTAAAGGTAAGAAAGTCTGTTATTTTTTTCATGTATAGCAATTTAACTGCAAAATAGCGGCACCGACTGTTAGTTTTGACCTGTTGGCTTTCTTATAATTTTTAGACGAAAAGAAGAAAACCAAGTCCATTAGCAATGAACTGAACCCAGTGTGGAATGAGGTCTGTTGATGCTTTGTATGAAACTCTTTATCGCTAATTACAAATGAATGGGATTAAAGTTGCTGTTTATGACATAAGTTACAAACTGAATGCAAACTATTTTAATTTTGATTGTTGTCTTTTTGTTTTCTTTAACCTTTTTTAATAATTTGTGTGTTTTTAATTTCATATTAGCTACCTGAGCTACATGCATGCGTAGGAATCTTGTGCATGGCAAGTTTTTGAAAAAAAAAAAAAAATGTAATGCTCTTTTCCCCTTTAGACACTTGAGTTTGATTTAAAAGGTGTTCCTCTTGATTCTTCCTCCTACATTGATGTGCTTGTGAAAGACCACGAGACTCTTGGCAAAGACAAGTGAGTGTTTTTCAACTGCTCAATTGAGTCATACCTTCAATGTGTTAAACAGTGTGGTGTTGAACTCTAGCTCCCACCTTAATCAAATACAAGTTGTGTGACTACAGAAGTATTAGCTTATAAAATTCAAGAGTTTTGACCTCCTGGAATGGACTCAAAGTGACTTGCCATTCATTAAAATGTAGAGTTCAATACAAAAGTTTTGCATAAGTTCTTTCTCTTGGTTAGATTCACGTCTAATTCCCTGTCACTTCTGTATTGATGTCACCGTTTAAAGTTGTCGCTGCATTTCTGGGTAGTTATGGACCATGTTAATCTTGGTTTTCTCAGTCCGACACTGTAATACCATGCACCTCAAACACACCCTCACGGCTGTGTTCAGACCTGCTCACAATGTGGGGTGGAATTGAGGCGTTTAGTTCACAGTACTGGATGAATAAAAATGATTGTTAGTTACTGAAATGCAGTTCTTGTATAAAGACATGACTTGAAGTAAATAGTATGGTCTTAACTCTTTATCACCATGTTTGGCTATAAGTTTCATGCATTTCCAGTTATTCTAGATTTTTTTTTTTCTGTGAGAACGGCATTGGAGAAAATCCAATGGCGAACACAAAGAGGAACATAACTCCCTCTGAAATTTACATTCATGCAATTTCATGCAAATTTGTCTTGCTGACGTCAAGTGGGTCTTTCATTCATTCCATAGGTTTTTCATTTTCATTTCTCTTTGATTTTTCCTGACATTCTTTGTCTTATCATTTTGTCATACTTTGTCAGATTAATTTTATTCCTTTCTCTTTCGAATAGTCGAAAAGGCTTTAATAAGTAGAAATATTGACATTAACAAAATAGTTTGCAATAACTGTGTCTAAAACAGAATATAATGTGTGTTATATACATTATATTAGATTTTACCCCTGACCCATATCATTTCTGACTCACATTATATAATTATGTTCTATTGTCAAATGCTGGCAATTATTAATCACCATCTTCAGTTCGTTGTGGTATTTTGATATACTACTATAGAAATTACACTAGTGACATTAAGATGCTTTTAAACCAAGATCTCTCTCTCTCTCTCATTTTATTATTCTGACAACTATACCTAGGTTACCAAAGTAAAAGAAGCATTATGTTGAAGATACTGGAGGAAAAAGCTAATATTTTGGGCCTTGACATGTAGCTTATTTTACTGATCTCAAGAACACCATTATATGATGTTTCTTTGTTTACCTGTCTCTATGTTGAAAGAGCACTAGTTATGGTGTTGCAACTTGCAGGATAGCACATAAGTAGTTAATATGGGCTAATCGGAGAAAAACAACATCATTATTGCTCAGTTGAGTTTATCTCTAATATCAGTGGAATTTAAAGAGTCTCCCAGACAGTGGCAATGTATTCTGTATAATGACAATGAAAGGGCTGGACTAGCAGAAACAGGAATTTGGAGCAGAACGTATCTAATAGCCTTTAACTTGCATTACCAACCTAATAGACATGAACTACAAGCTCTGAAAACTCAACATTTTAAATTTCATGGGATCTTTAACTGATTTTGTTGGCCATTTTCCTGTTGGACATGTTGTTGGATCAACATCTTTGTTAGTTTTGGAACAACATTGTTATCAATTAATCAGATTTTAGAGATGGGGGAAGGCTGATCAAATATATTATAATTTTGGACAGTCTGAGATTTTAGCTCCAGAATGTTGCTGAGATGTTGTTCCAGCAACGTATTTGGCAACATTTTGTGGGACACATGCATTTTTCTCTTTGGAACAAAAGTAGCATTGTGGCATTCCAAATCAATTCCGTTTGAGAGTCTGGCAAATGAAGAACATCACGGCACTGATCTAGTCTGCTTCCCACAAGGCTCAGAGTTGTAGTGAGCAGTGCACTTAGAGTTTAATTCCCAATTAAATAGCCTACTCTAATGTGTGTGCTAAAGTACAGGAAGTGTGTTTGATCATTGCTATTAAGAGGATAGTAAATATTAATCATACTTGGAATCACCTCAGTTTAAGGATCTCAGAAATGACATTCCTTAAAGGAAATGGGATGAGGGGACATGTTGGAGGGTGTGGTTACCTTTGCTTTATATGTTTGCTTTGCCATGTTTGTTTGAAACTTGAGATCATTGGGTTTTGACTATTAGGTTGAAGTCTGAGAATTTTGTTCAATGCAATTATTGTTTTAATTGTCATAAGATGTTGTGAGACTTTCCCTGAACATTTTGTAAGAACTTTTACAATGAAAACATGGGCTTCATTTAAGGAACCCAAGCAGAATTGGTTTCAAAACCAATTGCATGAATGTTGCATAGAATCAATTACAATAAATGAAATACTTCTAAATAAAATTATAAATTAACGTTTCATAAGCAAAGATTTATTTGGCAAAATTAATTTGTGTGTAAATTGTTGATGACAAAGGGATAGTTAACCCAAAAATGAAAATTTACTCATGATTTACTCGCACTCAAGCCATTCTATGGTGTATATGACTTTCTTCTTTCAGGCGAGTTCTATTAAAAATGTCCTGGCTCTTTCAAGCTTTATAATGGCATTGAATGAAAGTTTAGATTTTGAAGCACAAAAAGTACATCCATCCATCATAAAAGTAATCTATACAGTTTCAGGGCGTTAATGAAGGCCTGTTGTGAAGCGATGCGTCTGTGTAAAACATATCTAAATCTAAAAAAGTATTTAGCTGTCCAAAATTTCTCTTTAAAAATTATTGTTTTAGATTTTTAATTCATGACTGGGGGTTTGTTTTGCTCTGTACTCTGCGCTTCCGTGTTTGTCAATATGTCATTCGTCAGGTCAAGGGTCACTCTTTCACCGTAAATCAATGTGCCCGGCCATCTGTTGGAAGCTCAAGCTAGTTATTTTAGTTTATAAAGTTTTAAATATGGATATTTTTCTTACACAAACACATCACTTTGCTTCAGAAGACTAACCCCCCAGAGCCGTGTGGAGCACTTTTATCATGGATGGATGCAATTTTGGGGGGCTTTAAAATCAGGACCCCCATTCACTGCCATTGTAAAGCTTGGGAGTGCTAGAACATTTTTTTTAATATTACTTCAATTGCATTCGTCTGAAAGGCGTAAGTCATATACACGTAGGCTTCAGGGTGAGTAAATCATGGGGTAATTTTTATTTTTTGGGTGAACGATCCCTTTTAAGCTTTTTAAAAAGGGGTTTGTTCATATCACTTGCTTCATTTTATACATTTTGTATTTTCTGATGAAAAAAACTGTGATAGAAAAGAGATTCAAAATCTCCTCTGTAAAAACCCTTGACTCTTGAATTTTGAACCTGACTTTATCCAGTGTTTAGTTTGTTCTGTTCTAGGAAATATTTGCAAATTAGTGCATATTTATATAGTGCATCATCTGCATATTTAAACAGATCATTTGAGAACTTGGGGAAAAAATTACTTATTAATTTAATCAATCGTCTGAGGAAGTATGGTAATATCTGCTCTTAAAACTTTTTTTTTTTAAACTATTAATTTAAATATGCATTGAATTGAATTTAACATTGAATTTGACACATTAGTGCATTTAAGAGCAGAATTTTAAGACTTTGTAAAACCGTAAATGCCATGTTACCGTTAAACAATTTACACAGTAAGTAAAAAATAACTAAGTTAATTTATATAGTTGATAATATATAGATATAAAGAGATATGATCTGTATATATTTATATACATTAAAACAAACTGCTTAATAGTTAAACTAAAGTTGCTCGTGTAATTTCGATTCCTTACCCAGAACATAGCCTGTCCTGAAGCAGCATGAAGCGTAAGTTACTGTGGTGATGACCACTGCTAAAAGCCAAACCACTTTCATGGTTTTTAGGGTTGGCAGAACTTGGCACACTAAACAGAAACATACCTGGCTAGCGACCTAAACTGGCTTCCTGGCATAGGCCTCAGGTCTAATGTCTGTGGATGCAACCTTCGTTATTTGTGAAATGATGCAACACCAGCCCACTAATCAAATGAGGTTTCAGAAGGTGAATGCTGAATGTGCTTTTGTTTGTGGCCGAAAAATTAATAATCAAAGCATTTTAAAGCAAATGTTTCTCATAGCCAGGGAAATGCTCAGATGTAAAATGGTCTTTGAGAGTGTTCCTGGATACTGACCTACTACGCGTCATCGCAGTGACATTATTAATCTGGGTGGCGTTATTTACTTTTGGAGGAGATCTCTCTTGTGACTTTCGGAAAGCACACAAAGAATTTTTCTCCCTCGTATAATATTTATTTACGCATTGTGTTGTGTGCCACCTCTGTTTATTATGTAGCATTTAATGGACTGACAGAAAAGGGTTTTAAGTGATCAAATGATGACTTTAAATGAGTAATCGGATATATTTCCTTTTTTTTTTAAAATATATTATGAAGGCAAAGGGTTGAGAAATAAAAGGAATTCATGAAGTCAGCTGAAAAGAAAAGTTGTTTCAGAGGTGGACCAAGTTTGGGCATTTTTATAAAAGATTATAATGGCAAACTTGGTTTGTTTGTTGCTTTTAAAAAATAATATTAACTGATGAGTAATTCCCAGTGAGACCAGGAACATGAATTATGAAAATAAGTTTTGATGTCATGGAGCACGGCACTTTGTTTTTCAAATGCAAATAAAGTCACACAATTCACAATCAGTATTTGAAACTGAGTCCAGATATTATGTTCTTCAGAAACATGGGACATCAGTTGAGGTGATTGATTTTCCACAGGCCTTTTTTTAATTGTCTTTTTTGTTTGTTTTAGGTTGATTGGATCTGCTAAAGTCTCTTTAAAAGACCTTGCCAGTAGCCAAGTTAAATCTCTCCCAGTGAAAAACTTGGCTCTAGTGGATGAAAATGGCAAGGGCATAGGAGTAAGTTTGTTTTCCTTTTTAATCTCCTAAATCAAATGACATACAAATGTATATTTGTTATATTTTAAATAAATTTTATTGTACTCATTTAATCTACACCTGCACAACTTATTCCGCCATTCAAAGTCCCTTATATCCTCATTTTTTGCAATTTCTTTTATTAAATACCTGAAAATACTTTCAGCTAACAAATAAGTATTATTGGGTCTCATTCACTAATAATTGCATGGATTATTCGTATTTATATGCACAGGAGAACTTCTTAAGAAAATGTGGAAAAGGACTTTCCACACCCCTTACCTTTCGTCACTCAACAAACACAACGCTCTGTAAAATCACATTCTAGCTATTTAAGCTATTTATACCCATTTAATACATACCCAGATAAAATGTATATGTACATGATTAAATATTTTAAGATCTAGATCTATACCTAAGTATTACATTTCATCTAGGCCACCAAGAGTATGTGAATATTTTGTGTATGAGTGCTTTAAATTTAATATACATATTAGAATGAAAGTTATTGATGAATCATGATTTGTTCGTGAAAACATTCATACGCTGATTTCAAGCGCAAAGTTATTGAATGTGAACTTTTGGTTAGTGAATGAACGACTTTACTGGCTTAATTGACTAGTTCATTTTAATTAGGTCGTCACCTTAATTAAACCTGAGAGGCATATTTAAACAACAATTAAAATGTTTTAATCTAATGTAGTTTTGTGATGATAGCATTGCTGTCAATATTTACACATTGCTGTCAATATTTACACATTCAAGGCACTTTTCAGTATTTATGTAGTCTATTTGACTCATTATTATGAGATAATTAGCTGCATCCTTTTGTAGGGGACCATCAGCATGATGATTGGCTATGAGCCGCCTGCCGGTGCTGTGACGAATCCACAAGATCAACAAGATGGCAGCATGGGTGGAAACACAGGTTAGCTGAGTGTGTGGCTCAGTGCTTTCTCTGTTTGACCTTGTAATGGAGTGTTATGCAGATGACATGCTTGATGGTGTGTGAAATTATGTGTAAAAGTTGTTTGAAATGCATTTTCAGATACTTTTACAGTTATATGTCGATTGCAGGAATGCGTGAAGATCATTTTGTGAAAGGCTTTAGCTTTGAATATGTGTATTGCATGTTTGCCATGTTGCATATGTTTGACTGATACATGCCATGACTTACTTTCTTTATGCTTTATGTATTTTTTTTCTTTGTGGATGTGCACTGATCAGCTGGGGGTGAAGAGGGTGACTCCACTGATTCTGGGGCACCGGGTGCTGCCACGTCCCCTGGTGAGCCTGGCCAGAAACTTCGGACTAGGACAAGGAAACGTCATAATTTGGCCAACAAACCTCAGGATTTTCAGGTATAGCAGCGTTCTGTAGATATATATACAGATGTCTCTTCCATTTTAAATGCTGACTGCATATGCTTTATTAGTCATGTTATTTTTGTCAAAGATACGTGTGCGGGTGATTGAGGGACGTCAGTTGCCTGGAAATAACATCAAACCTGTGGTCAAAGTCCATGTGTGTGGAGACACACACAGAACTAGGATCAGGAAAGGAAATAACCCATACTTTGATGAGGTACACGATTGATATTATAGAATATATTTGTATTATTATTTTATTTATTTATTTAAAATGGAAATTAGCTATTTTTTTAAGAACCTTTTCTATTCTTAAGTACACAATTCTATTCATGTACTGTATTGTAATCTTGGTAATTGCTCATTTTCACTGGACAAAAAATTGACAAACTTCATATTTGGGTGAACTGTTCTTGAAAGCTACTTTCACACCGCAAGCCTTAGTGCTCAATTCTGATTTATTGCTCCTATATATATATACAGTATATATATATATATATATATATATATAGGATCTATATCTTATATATATAATTTTTTATTTTTTTTTTTTTTTTTTTTGGCTGTTGTCATTATTTTTTAAATGTGAGATCTGATTATCAATATCAGATTCCAGTGTGCTCAGTCCCAAACTGACCCCAAAAGAACAATAACAAGACGCTAGTTTTCCCTCAAGCTTTGCTTGTATAGAGCTTTCACCGTGATACAGTCCCTCCACTGACTACTGTCACTGCTGTCTTCCATATTAACCGAGGGACCAAAGAACTACAGTGAAATCTTTGGAGTGACTCCCGTCAGCGCAGGATTGCGACTAATGTCGATCTAGAGTGGCGTAAAAAACACATGAATTCCAATATGACCGTTCAGACTGAGGTTGCATTACAAAACATCTGAACTGTACCAGACTTAGTTCCACATTGAAGTGGTCTAAATCAGAATCGAATAAATCAGATTTTCTGATTTACAGACTTCTGATTGGCCAGCTGTATATACATCTACCTGTGTCTTTATTCAGAGCATACTATAACACACTTTTTTTTTTTACTTTTACTGTATGCATATATATATGATTAAATATTTGAAAATCTAGATCTATACCCAAGTATTAAATTTCATCTAGGCCACCAAGAATATGTGAATATTTTGTGTATGAGTGCTTTAAATTTAATATACATATTAGAATGAAAGTTATTGATGAATCATGATTTGTTCGTGAAAACATTCATACGCTGATTTCAAGCACAAATCAGTGGTCTAAATCAGAATCGAATAAATCAGATTTTATGATTTGAGCGGTTAATTAAAAACCGACAAGCATATAAGTGAAAACATCAGATTTGAGTCACTTTTGTCTGCAGTCTCAATGTAGCCTTAGACTCTATTCCTGATTATTTGAAAGCCATAATTTCCTAAAGTCTAAATAGAATGTCACTAAATTCTGAATGTGTCACTCTTTCCAGATATTCTTTTTCAATGTCAACATGTTGCCCTCTGAACTGTTTGATGAGGTTGTAAGCTTCCGGGTAAGAAAAAAAGCTTTTTTTGTGTGACCAGTGTTCCTTTCTTTATTATCGGTAATGTTGTTTTTCTTCTTTTGTGTAGGTGTATAACTCTTCTTCTTTTAGATCAGACTGTCTCATGGGTGAATTCAAGGTAATTCAGTAAAATTCAAAGTGTGCTTTGATTATACTAGACGCGCAGTGTACTTCAAGATGATCTTATTAATTCATTTCTCTTTTTGTAGCTTGATATTGGCTACATCTATGATGAACCAGGTAATGATCTGATACTCACAAAATAATCATTACACTTTATCTGTAGTTTAACGGATCATTAAAGGTTTGTTTTTTAAACCCCAGCTCACTGTATCATGAAGAAATGGGTTCTCCTGAGTGACCCAGATGACTCAAGCTCAGGAGCCAAGGGTTATATCAAAGTCAGCATGTTTGTGTTGGGAACAGGAGATGAGCCGCCGGTACGTCCCCTGAAGATCATTTATATTAGCATCTGTGTGCGGCTGATTTCACCAAGTGCAACATTCCAATCAGATTTGAGAGGGACACATTTACAGTTTGTCAAGTTTGGGCTTACAATAAGAGTTGGGTGCTTCTACATCAGTGTTATTCACCTATTATTTCCCTCTGACTTGGTAGTGTTGAGGGGTAGGGCTATTGTTAGGATTAGATTTTCAGACAGGAATGTTGTTCCAGGAACAACAAAATATGTTGACCCAGGTACACGTCAGTGCACGAGAAGACTTTATAAACCGCTTAAAGACTGCTTTCTATCTGTCATAATTTTTGGAGAGAAAAAAACTCCTAAAAATGTGTAAGCTCATGCTATACACGCTGTATAAAGTGGTCTTATTGTGCAATGTCTATTTGACAGGTGGAAAGGAAGGAGGAGGACAATGATAAAGATGATGTGGAGAGTAACTTGCTGCTGCCCGCTGGCGTCGCTCTCCGATGGGTTACACTTAAACTCAAAGTGTTTCGGGCTGAGGACGTCCCCCAGAGTATGACAGTTATTCCTTATGTATTTGTTCTCTGAAGTAACAGATTAGACAATCTTCTTTGGTTTGATTTGGGTTCAATTGTTAGTCCAGGAAAGGCCCACATTGAGGATTCTGTATTTGTTGAGCTGGCACATTTAGTCACTTCCTGATACCTCAATGTGGTATCCTACTAGCTTACACAAAACCGTTCCCTGCCATTAACTGTTGAGTGACTGGGACTGTTAACACGTGCATAGAGTTCCCTGATTCTCAGATGTCTGTCAGTTAAGTTAATGACTGGGGGAAAAAATCGGAGAAAGCTGTTTTTTTTTTTTATATCGTTCTTATTACCAATCATACAGAATGTTTTTCTGTTTATGTAGTTTAAGTATTGAAGTTAAGTATGTGGTTTAACTAGTAGATAAACCCCCATTTTCACAGACATTTTTAAATGAAAGCAACTTGCACTGACATGTCGGTGCCATTGTTTTGTCTCGGTGTACACCAGTAATGTTTTTTTATCTAAGGCACGTTAATAAAAGCTATTTAAATGTCCTAATTAAATTAAGACCTGGGGCCTCATTTATTAAACTGTGCGTAGAATCCTCCCTAAAAGTGTACGTACGCCCGAAAGCCAAAATTCACTTTATAAATCCCAGTCAGCCGAAGATTCTGCGCATATGCGTCTCCTCCCCGAAATAACCATACAGTGGTGTGAATAAGTTTTGACACCCATGCTAAAGTTGCGTAAAAAGAGGAATAAAAAATCATCTTTTGGATGTTGATCTTAATGCCTTAATTAGAAAAATGAGGAAAACTCCAACCTTTAAGGACACAAGTTTTCTTTGTGAATGAATAATGTATCATAAATAAATACATGTTTTTCCTTAAAATACAGGGTGCATAAGTCAGGGCACCCCTATGTTAAATTCCCATAGAGTTAGGAAGATTTTTTTTTTTTTAAAGCCAGTTATTTCATGGATCCAGGATAATATGCATCCTGATAAAGTTCCCTTGGCCTTTGGAATTAAAATAGACCCACATCATCACACACCTTCCAGTCCACCATGCCTTGAGATTGGCATGGGGTACTTTCCATAAGATCATCTTTCAATGCAAATCAAACCAGCTATTAGGCTAATATATTATCATATTATCATAAAACATATTATCCTGGATCCATGAAATAACTGGCTTTTAAAAATAAAAATCTTCCTGACTCTATGGGAATTTAACATAGGGGTGCCCTGACTTATGCACCCTGTATTTTAAGGAAAAACATTTATTTATTTATGATGATTACATTATTCATTCACAAAGAAAATTGGTGTCCTTAAACGTTGGAGTTTTCCTCATTTTTCTAATTAAGGCGTTAAGATCAATATCCAAAAGATGATTTTTTTTTTTATTCCTCTTTTTAGGCAACTTTAGCATGGGTGTCAACTTATTCAGACCACTGTATATGGAGACCACAACGCCTAGTTTTACAATGCATATCCTCATCTGCATATCATGATTTGCATATGATTATTCATCCACATGATAACATGTTTAAAGGTACAAGACATTAGGAAAACCTGATCCTGGCTTAATATAGGCCCTAAACTGGGCGTTGACAATATTTAGATGAGCTGTAGATACAATTTTGTAAAGTAAGTTGTATTTAGTAAGTTGTACCAATGTTTTTTTTTTAGACTGTGAAAAAATAAACTCCACTTTATAGTGGCAGAATTTGTAACACTGTTTGCATCTCACTACTGCTTATCAAAATACTTCAACCACATCTGCTAACTAAGTTGCAAGTAAAATTTAAATAATAAAATAAGTTACTTATTTTTCTTACTAAGTAGTTTTCCTCAGACTGAAAGAATGAACTGCACTTTAAGCAGCAAAAGATTGTTAACTTATTGTTTAATTAATAACTTTTATTCTTTTCTCAGACTGTGAAAGAATAAACCCTGCACTTTTAATTGTAAGTAAGATGTAACATTGAAGTACTTTTTGTTTTCAGTGGATGACTCCATCACCCAGACTTTAAAAGCAGCATTTGGGGGTGAAGAAAACAAGAAAAATCTAGTGGATCCATTTGTTGAGGCCTGTTTTGCTGGCAAAAAGGTACAGTCCACACAGACACACTGTACACGCATATTTCTTCTGCCTTTTGTCTGAACTACAGTTACATGTATTTTAGCTCTGTACACAAATAATTGAGAAGAATGCAAATCCAGAGTGGAACCAGCAGCTCAATCTGCAGGTCAAGGTAATTGGCTGGATTGGGAAAGATTTGTTTTTGCACTTTATTAATTTGTTAGCCCCCTGAAGTTTCTAATTGGAAACCCTTTTGACATGTTTTACAGTTCCCATCCATGTGTGAAAGAATCAAACTGACTGTATTTGACTGGTGAGGATAAGCGTGGTGGTGGTAAAGTTGTACGGCCACAATGGATATGAACATTTTAAATTGGTGTTGAGAGAATCTCCTGTGTTAGTCTAGGAATGTGAGTTGGGAGTCAAAATTTGGTCAGTGTTTGAGCTGGGAGGACACAGGCAGGCAGTATGAGTCATAGCAGGACTGTCCCACCCTCTCCCACAATGCATTCCTCCCCATAAACCAGACTACAGCTGCTTAGGGAACAGTGGAAAAACTGATAACTCCCCTAGCTGGACTGATTCAATGACATACTGGAACATTTAAGCTGACTCCCCCTCTTTCTCAGGGATCGCCTCTCTGGAAATGATGCCATAGGCACCACGTATTTGGATCTGTCCAAAATAGCATCCTCTGGTGGTGAAGTTGAAGGTATAAAGTTCAGAATACACTATTTTCATGTCAAACTCTCACTTTTTTTTTTTTAATTAAAGGGGTCGTGTCCTGAACTTTTGAGTTGTGTACTATGAAAGTCAAAACTTAAATAATATTTTATTCATCTTTATTTGTTTTCTTTGTGATAGAGGATTATCCAGGAGATGAATTTTCAGCAAAAAAAGGTTTAATATTTGCGCTGATTCCAGATCTGCAATCCCTTGTGTCCAAACACACAATTAACATGCAGTACTTCATTTTTTTTTTTTTTTTTTTTTAGTAAACAGGTTATTCTCTCAAACCAACTATTTTTATTCAAATTTTTGTCTCAAGGATGTGGTACCCAAGGGGTTGCAGTTAGTTTGCACACTATAAATGTCTATGCATGCTTTCGAATTAGCATTAGCACAGAGCGCTTATGCTATTTTTTTCATGTTATGCAACATGACAAAAAAGTTGAACAATGCCGTTTACTATACCCTTAATCACCTTAATAAAATGGCATGGCATAATTGAGCATCCGACTTGCATAATTATGTTTTTTGTTTACCAAGGCTGCATTTATTTGATCCAAAAATGTATTATTATTAAATTTAAAATAACTGTTTACTTTAATTCTTTGGCAAAGATGATTTTTCTATTTTGCTGATTTGCTGAAATATTTCTTCTCATCAATGTTAAGAACTGTTTTAATACTTTTTTGTGTGGAAACTGTTATACACTGTCATTATAAGGTTAATATACAGTAGTCAACATTTGAAATGGATCCAAAAAGTTAATTAAAGTTGTCCTAAGGCAATGTTCAAAATGTTCAAAAATCATGTATAAATTTGATTATCTATACATCACAGGAATAAATTACATTTTGAAACATATTCAAAATTAAAAAAACAACAAAAAAGTAATCTCACAATACCACTACTTTTACTCTATTTTTTATTTAAAAAATGCAGCCTTTGTTAGAGATGCTTATTTACTTATTTGTCTATTTATTTAATGGCTGGTAATGTACGACTGTTATTGTGAAAACATTCCATTTGTGAACCATATTGTGTGGAAATCATCACTAACATTGTTTATCCATGTAGTTGAAATCACAGCATGAGTGTAATATATTAATATAATAATTATTTCATTAATTGTGGGTTTCTGTACATTTTAAAATGATTTGTTTTAATTCATGACACTAATTTAAAGAGCTCTGCTTTTGAGATGCTTTAACAAACCTTACTAATCTAACTACTAACTAATATCATGCCACTGGAAACTTTTTAATTGGATGTGTTTTTCCACAGGAGAGACTGGGGAATCTGAGATGGGCTTCCTGCCTACTTTTGGGCCTTGCTATATATGTCTGTATGGCAGTCAGAGAGAGTTCTCAGGCTTACCTGACCCATATGACGACCTTAATTTAGGAAAGGCAAGTGCAGATGGTTAATTTTATGATTACATTCCCAAGTAAATAGAATTTGCAGCAAAAATGTTTTAGTTAAAAAATTATTTTCAAATGCACTGAAGGATTTGTGAATATTCGCAGGGTGAAGGGGCGGCTTATCGAGGGAGAGTTCTTGTTGAACTCTCTACTAAACTTGATGGAAAGCCTGACAAGTCTGTGGAAGAAATATCAAGCGACGATATCTTGGTTGTTCAGGTGTGGCTCTTTGAGTTTCCTTACAGATTAGGTTTTCACTTGAAGCCTATATTTACAGCTTTGTGTACTTCTCTTTGCATAGAAATACCAGCGCAGAAGGAAGTATTGTCTGTGTGCAGTGTTTCACAGTGCGACCATGATTCAAGAACCGGGGGAGCCCATTCAGTTTGAAGTTAGCATCGGGAACTATGGCAACAAGATGGACCAAACGTGCAAACCTCTGGCTTCGACCACACAGTACAGCTGTGCTGTTTTTGATGGTGATGCAGAGTTGGAATTATATGGTGTTTGTAAAAATAGGATGTGAGGTATTTATTTTCTTTTTTTTCTTTGGTTCTTCCAGGTAATAATTACTACTACCTGCCATGGGGCGACACTAAACCTGTGATTTCCATCACATCCTTTTGGGAGGATATCAGTCACCGGTTAGACTCACTGAACATCATTCTGTATATATCTAACCGTTTGGTAAGTGAATGTTTTGTATGACATTGACTTTATGAGTGTTTTTTTGTTTTGTTTTTTTAATAATTTTAGATCTTGAACGTTTAAAATGTGTCAAATCTGCTTTTAAGAGAGATCGTAGTATCATGCCTCGGTGTACATTCTATTCTTATTTGCAGTTACTGGAACGCAAGTTCTGCATAAATAAGGGCGTGGTCACTTGAGTGACAGGTGGATTTCCAAGTTCTGCATAAATAAGGGCGTGGTCACTTGAGTGACAGGTGGATTTCCAAGTTCTGCATAAATAAGGGCGTGGTCACTTGAGTGACAGGTGGATTTCCGAGTTCTGCATAAATAAGGGCGTGGTCACTTGAGTGACAGGTGGATTTCCAAGTTCTGCATAAATAAGGGCGTGGTCACTTGAGTGACAGGTGGATTTCCAAGTTCTGCATAAATAAGGGCGTGGTCACTTGAGTGACAGGTGGATTTCCAAGTTCTGCATAAATAAGGGCGTGGTCACTTGAGTGACGGGTGGATTTCCAAGTTCTGCATAAATAAGGGCGTGGTCACTTGAGTGACGGGTGGATTTCCAAGTTCTGCATAAATAAGGGCATGGTCACTTGAGTGACAGGTGGATTGCCATTGCTGTTACTAGCCGTTTGTCTGCTGTTAGCAGTCACGTCACCTTAACTAATCCCGTCTCTTTGCCCTACGGGGTGACATCATGGACATAATGTCCATTTTTTTTTTACAGTCTAAGGTTCTGACATGCACTTGTCAGAGCATAAGAGACTTCTTGCCGACCCCAAACTTTTAGTGTGTGTGTGAGAGTGAGGAAAGGGTATAATTCTTTCTTTAAGCATGAAACTTTTTAATACTTTTGCAGCAAACAAACCTCAGTATGTTGAAGTCTGCAGTACTGTCCAAAGCTACAGATGCAAGACTAGTAGAAATCTGGCTGAAGCTCATCAATCAGTTAATGGAAGATATCACCAGGTAATGTACACTTAAGATCTTATTTAGATCCACAGTCATCAAGATGTAACTACATGCACTGTTGAATGTTGTCAGTTGAAATATGGGAGATTTTCTTGTATGTAGGGCAAAGAGAAAGTGTTTTATTTGTGTTGAGCATGTTTTAACTAATACAAACTACTGTGTGCAAAGTTTAAAAATTCCTGACCTGGAGGGGAAGCCCAATCTCACAGCCCTGGATATTCAGATAAAGAAGTTGCGGGACAGTGCTCTGGAAAGCATCATGGAGGGGGCCAAACACTTGTTTGAGGAGGCCACAGATGTTACTAAGTGCTTGAGCATCATTGAAACCTGGCTTGACAAACTCCTGAAACTTGCTGAGGAGGTATGGTTTTATTTTGTGTAGGAATGGAGCTACAATTAGAAATACACAGATTTTTTTTTTTTTTTTTACTAATATACTAATTGGTCAATTATAAATAATATCAATATTAGATATTCAGTTGTGCTTGCTCATTTACCATATTTTGTTTGCCATTTGCTGTGATCTTTAGACACCTAATCATTGTACAACAGTAGCCTATTCATTTTGCTGTTTATGCTGTACATTAATGTTTTGGCTAAATGCACTTGTGGCATTTAAAAGTTTGTATTTTATTTGTTTAGACAAATTAGTATAGAATTTTATGAATCTGCTATTTTTCTGAATAAATTAAATATGAAAATTAAAATAATTAGCGGCGTGTTATCGAACATAATTTTAATATTGATGCATCCCTAAATAAAAATAAATAAATAACGGCTTGTTATCAAACATAATTTTAATATTGATGCATTCCTAAATAAAAATAACTAACACAAAAGAAATCAACCCATTGCTCTTAATTATACTTCACCAGTGCTTGATTAGCCTTACATAGCCAAACTTTTCATGTAAGAAACAAGAAACCTGACCAAGACAATATTTGACCAGCTGAAATAAAATGCTCAAATAATTTTAATAATAATACAAGTAATAAAAAGCAGAATTTAACTTTATGTCCATTTAAAATGTACTGATTATTTCACAGATAGAACTTATACACAGAAAACAAAATTGAATACAAAATTGTTTATCAAGTTAACATGGTCATATGAGTCACAAACAAAACTCTTTTAAAGATGCTACAAACCTGAAAAACATTTTCTACTAGTAAAAGCAACTCTGGGCGAACTGGTGCACTTTCAGGAAGTTGTGTGGAGCTGGTTTTCTGCCAATGCTTGTATTTTAAATGTACAGTATACGTTGGGGACTGGTGCTGGATTAGAATTGTAATTTAGGTGATAATTCTTGTTAATCAGACATCGCATTTAAACATAATTTGTATCAACATCTTTTAGCCTCAGAACAGCATGCCTGATGTGATTATCTGGATGTTGAGAGGAGAGAAGAGGGTAGCATACACCCGCATCCCAGCCTATCAAGTGCTGCATTCATCCTACTGTGAGCAGGCATGTGGCCAGTTCTGCGGGAAGAATCAGACTGTCTTTATGCAGGTATTGAGAGATTGTACTATGCTCTGTTCAAGGCATAAAACACGTTTAAGCTTTGCTCTATGAAATGCTCTGTACCTCATGATGACTGTTTCCTTACAGTATCCCATGGACGACAAAAAAGGTTTGAAGATTCCCGTCCAGATACGTGTGAACATGTGGCTTGGGCTGGCAACAGAAGAAAAGAAGTTCAATAATTATGCAGAGGGGATTTTCAATGTATTTGCAGAACTGGTAAAGATTGTTTTTTTTTTGCTTTGAGGTATGAAGAAATGCAGTCATTAGTCATTGAGCTAATTATGTCAATTGTTTCATTTATAGTATGAAAACCAGGCTCAAGTTTTGGGAAAATGGGGCACCACTGGTCTGCTTAATCGCAGCAAGTTCTCTGATGTCACAGGCAAAGTTAAGCTGAAGCAGGAGTACTTCATGCCCCCTGTTGGCTGGGAGTGGGAAGGCGATTGGCGTGTTGAACCAGAGAAAACGTAAGTTGTCCCACACCCTCAGCACAAACATTAAGAAATAGTTAGCAAATTATTATTTGATGGTTCCATGTACTATTACTATTGGTATTTTTCTATAAGATGAATAAAAACGGCAACAAATGTATTTCTCATTATTAGTAAACGTTGTAAATTATAACGTAGTATCTGGGGTAAATATTGTATTTCTGCTTTTCCATAAGTCAGAAAGGGAATTTAAATGTTCATTTAGGCCATCTGCCCTATACCCCCCCGACACACACACACACAAAACACCTAGTATAATAGTGACGAGTTTCCTTCAGAAACAGTTTGGTCATTAATTTGTGATTTCCTTGGCTGGATGGGTAGTCTGCTGATTGAGGCTGATGCTGGACACACAGAGTTTGTGGATGAGGTCTATGAGAATGAGACTCGATTCCCAGGAGGAGAATGGAAGCTTGCTGCGGAGCCTTACACTGATGTGGTAAAAGAGCCTGTCTAACTTTAGCTTCACATCAGATGTCTAATCAAGACATTCATAATTTTTTTTTTCATTGTTTATATTTGAATACAATATACTGCACATACAGAAAAGTTTGTACTATCCCTTAAAAATCCTATTCCTCATTGTTCTCCTTTTGATATTTACAGAATGGAGAAAAAGTTCAGAGCCCTACAGAGATTGAATGCCCACCTGGCTGGAAGTGGGAGGATAACTGGACTTTTGATGGTAATCGGGCCGTCGATGAGAAAGGTAAGTTTGTCTTTGCTTTTTATTTAGAAATATTACATTTTGTCAATATTCAATGAGCCATCTTTAAAAGAATTTTTAATTCAGGATTTTTTTTTTTTAATCTGTTTCCAAGAAATTCCATTTAGAATTAATAATTAAAGAATTATAATTGTCATTTACTCAACCGCATGTCACTCCAAACCAGTATGACTGAATTTCTTCTGTGAAACACAGAATGAGAAATTTAGCCGAATTTTTACTGCGGTTTTCCTTTCTCATTTTCTTCTCATGTCTATAAAATGGATTTAAAAAAACAAACACTTTAGAAGCACAAATTAGACCATATGACTTGTCCATTATATTTCAAGTCTTTTCAAGTCATGGCTTTAAGAAACAGACTGGCACTTAATGTTCTAGTCTCTTGAAATCCTGCCTTCCTCTATAGCTAACTTCTGCCTCTGCTGATTGTGCAGACAATGAGATTGTTTGCTCAACATGTAAATAGTCTGGCACAGTGTTTGTTGTAAACTGGTTCTGTAGCGCGCTATCAGAGTTCCTCTGAAATCCTCCACCTGCCTAGATCTGCTACAGGATTTATATATACCTGTTCATGCCACTGCAGCATTTCTTACAGAAGTTAGTTCTTCATTATAATTAAAATATGCATACAATGTACATAAATTTATATATATATTTATGTGTAAATGTACACGTTATTGGTTCTTCCAGACAAACATACATGATAAATGAATGCTTCATCAGAAGGGAAGGTTATCGGTACATAGCGAAAAAATGCGGTATATTCATTACACATAGCTCTCGTATGGCTTCAGAATATTTAAAAGGAATTTAGGGCCCAAATCAAATTGTCTACTTTTAAAGGGATACTCCACTTTTTTGGAAATTGGCTCATTTTACAACTCCCCCAGAGTTAAACAGTTGAGTTTTACGGTTTTCGAATCCATTCAGCCGGTTTTCTGATAATTAGAAGGATATCAGTAACCAGACAGTTTCTGGTCTCATTGACTTCCATAGTATATATATTTTTTCCTACTATGGAAGTCAATGAGACCAGAAACTATCTGGTTACTGATATTCTTCTAAATATCAGAAAATCGGCTGAATGGATTTGAAAACGGTAAAACTGTTTAACTCTGAGGGAGTTGTAAAATGAGCCTATTTCCAAAAAAAGTGGAGTATCCCTTTAAGATACCTTTTATGACATGCGTTTGCCTTTTTCTGGAGCCTGGGAGCTCCTGGTTTTCTTTCATTGTGAAAAATGTTTTTAACATGGCATCCACAATTAAAAGTGATTTATGTTTTAAATGACCGAGATTTAATTTTGATTACCTAAAAATTTAAAGTTGTATAATGTGTATTTGTGAGTTTAGGTTGGGAATATGGTGTCACCATTCCACCTGATGATAAGCCCAAATCTTGGGTGGCAGCTGAGAAGATGTACCATGTTCATCGTCGCAGAAGAATGATCCGCCCTCGCAAAAGGATTCCTGGTGTCAAAACAGCCACTGATGCAAGTGTATATTGTGAATTTAAAAGATTTTTTTTAGATTTTGCCTTTATAAAAATGTATTTTCTAATTGTCTGAAATGCAGAAGAAGGATGCAGGAGATGCAGAAGGATGGGAATACTCCTCTCTCATTGGCTGGAAGTTCCACAGGCAGCAGCGATCCTCTGACACGTTCCGCCGACGGCGCTGGAGAAGGAAGATGGCACCCTCTGGTCGAGTTGGAGCCTCTGCCATTTTTAAACTGGAGGGGGCTCTGGTTAGCATCAAAGTTTCCCATTTCTTATCCTAATACTATCCTACTTTTTATTTTCCGCATAATGAGCTTTTCACTGTTGATTTACTTGACAGGGCGTCGACATGGAATCTAAAGTTGAAGAAAAAGGCACCAAAGCAGAAGCTTCAGTTCAGCAGTTTGGTGCAAACAGGCCAACTGTATCATGCACATTTGATGGTGAGTTCATTAAGGATAGAGATTCCTGATTTTTTTTTTCTCTCTCTGTATATCCATTTTATTAACGTTACGCCTGATTTTCTTTCAGGACCCAATGCGTACCACTTGAGAGTTTATGTTTACCAAGCCAGAAACCTTTTTGCTCTGGACAAAGACAGCTTCTCAGGTCCCACTGCAGTTTTGATATTGCTGATTTGTCTTTAAATTACAATAATCTGGAAAAGCGACCTGGCTTTTATTATAACTAAAAATCATATTGGTTTAAATTGCAGATCCATACGTCCATGTGTCGTTCTTGCATAACAGCCAAACAACAGAGACAATCCGAAGCACCTTGAACCCGACATGGGATCAGACTCTTATATTTAAAAATGTGGAAATCTATGGTGATCCCCAGTCTCTCGCCCAGAATCCTCCCAGAGTGGTAATGGAAATCTTTGACAACGATCAAGTGGTCAGTCTGATATATTTATGCTCTCACTTTACTCCACTCAATTGACAATATTGACAATATTGTATCAGGATGCCTATTTAATTGTTAAAAATGGTTCACTATTTACAACACAAAATATCTTATATCTTTTTTTTATATATAATAAAAAAATGGATCACATAAACAGAATTTGTTGTTTACTGCTAAACCTGACAAATATAAGCGATTCAATATTATTGCCTTTTAGAATGCAAGTGCATTGCAAATTTGCAATTTGTTCATCCTGTTAGGGTAAAGATGAAATGCTTGGCAGAAGTACATGTGTACCTTTGGTGAAGTTGACTTCAGGTGAAGATGGATCACCTAAACTCCTCTGGGAGCCTGTAATGTACAAAAATGCTCCTGCTGGGGAGGTTCTAGTGGCTGCAGAGCTCATTTTAAAGACCAAGGTATGCTTCTTCTTCATGGAATTTGGGTCATTTAACCATATTAAAGGGATAGTTCACCTAAAAATGAAAGTGATGTAATTTACTCACCCTCAACTTGTTCCAAACATTTATGTTTCATTCTTCTGCTGAACACAAAAGAAGATATTTTGAAGAATGTTGTTCACCAGAAAGTTTACAGTAGCTATTGACTTCCGTAGTATTTTATCCTATGGAAGTCCATATCTACCATCAGTAGATGTCTATCATCTTTTGTGTTCAACAGAAGAAAGAAACTCATGCAGGTTTGGAACAACGTAAGGGTGAGTAAATGATGCTAGGAATTTAGATTTTTTTTTTTGTGATTTTTTTTTTTTTTTGGGGGGGGGGGGGGGGGGGGTAACTATCCCTTTAATGACTGCTCTGTGGTTAAAATAAAATTCTACTTGATAATTCCAATGTTGTCTACTCTAGGGAAATGACACTGAGCTTCCCCTTGCTCCTGCTAAACGAGGAGAGAAGCTCTATATGGTTCCTCAGGGGGTACGACCGGTGGTGCAGCTCACTGCCATAGAGGTCCGTTTCATTTTCATGCGTTATGTCCTTTTTGGTAGTTGTTTAAAAGGGGTCGTATCATGCCAAATCTATTTCTTTAATCTGTCGAGATAATGTACTATTAAAGCTTCCTCTCCAGTCCAAAAAATATAATTTATTTAATCAAAACATGCACACAAACACCAATTTTTACACGATGATGTTTGATATTCGCAGGTTCTAGCATGGGGATTACGTAACATGAAGACATATCAGCTGGCTCCAGTTACTTCACCCAGTCTGGTGGTGGAGTGCGGAGGAGAGAGTGTTCAGACAGCTGTCATCAAGAACATAAAGAAGTGCCCTAATTTCCAAGGAAATGTCCTCTTTTTCAAAGTGGTAAGCATCCATCTCTACCTGTTGAGAAAAGGCATAGTAATTCTTTCAAATAAAAACTTTCCTTGCTTTGCATTAGACAGCAAAAAATCAATGACATAAATTTAAAGCCACACTGTGGAATTTTTAGCCACTAGGGGCGCTCGACCTGTAACTTTCACGTCTAGCGTCCCTAGAGGCCACAAGCTCCGCAGCACTGTCGCAATTTAAAGTCAACAAACAGTCAACCTCCCGTGTCTTTCCTGTGTGTGTGCTTGCATTGTTTGAGGAGGGCCGGGCAGCTTTGCCGCGCTCGATTCCCTTATAGCAGTCGGCTGAGAGAGAGCGAGCGGGGTGAGCCCCGTGGGACTTATCATGTCTGTGAGGGAATGTGGGCGCGGGATAGCGGGCACATTCACTGCACTGAAAACTCTGTCGGCCTGAGCTGACTCTATGTGTGTTGGTTTCTTTTTACAGAAACCGTGGGACATGTGGTGTGTAGCGTTTGTGGGTACTACTGAGTCGTGGGCACGTTCACTACATTTAATGTAACGTTACATTTGACGTGAGTCGAATTTATAAGTGCGAGTCCTGCACTGAGGCGGGCTGTGTTTGTGTGTAGAAATGAACACTGGGCTGTGGGCATTTTATTACACTCATAACACCATCGGCTATGGCTGGAATACCAGAAAATACTACACTGCTTATATGAAATTATCTGGGTTACCTTGGAAACGGCATTTGTGTTCAGACAAGCGTCCGCATCGGTCGAGCACCCTTCCTCTCACGCCAGCGAGTGAAGTGAAAGCTGGACTAATGTTAATCCTCGTCCTAGCTTTTAATTCGTCACTCTCCACTTTTCTTTTTTTAGCTTGCTCTGATAAAACCGTTGCCTTCTTCCTTGTAGCTCTTGTTCGGCCATGGCAACGCGAGTTGAGCACTAACGTCAGAATCTGAGGAAGTTGTGGGTGGTGGGGGAAGTGACTTATGCCGTAAAGCGGTCGAATTTTGTAGTTCTTTTTTTGCTCTGATTCCTACCCGAAACCCGAAGTTACAAAGTGCTTGTAAAAGCAATACAGACACCTTCAGGCTACGGCAGACGTGTCATTCAACCTATTGTAAGTCGATGTACCATCTCAATGGGTTTTGGTAATATATTATAAAGGTTAAAAAGTTGCGAATTGTGGCTTTAAATATGGTTTAATTTTCCAAATGCTTTTTTGAACCCATAGACCATATGTGATCAGTGTCTTGTTTTGTGTCTTTAGCTTCTACCCAAAGAAGAGATATATGCTCCCCCTATAGTGCTGAAAGTCATCGATCACAGACCCTTTGGAAGGAAGCCCGTGGTGGGTCAGTGCACGATAAGTTCCCTGGAAGAGTTTCGATGTGACCCTTATGTCACAGTAGCTGATGTCGCCTTGTCTTCAAAAAGTATGTCCCCTTCACACTTTTCTGTTTACTGATTTATCTTTTTTTGTTTTGGTATTCTTAAAACATTCTGTGAGTTAGATCACCTTTTAACTATTAAACTTTGGCAATTAATTCAGTCCAAACTTCATTCAAAATTGGTTATTTCTAGGTGTTATTTTATTTATAGTCGCCTTAGCACTGCTGATTTTTGTGTACAGCCTTCAGGAAATTTGAAAGAATATTTATCAGCATTCTTTTTTTTGTCTCCTTTTCTTTTCTTCTCTTTTCCTGCAGTGTCTTTGATGGCAGCTGGTCCAAGAGACCTCCATGTAAACATTGATGACGACAGACAGCATCTTCTAGAAGCTCAGGTACTGGTACCAAGTCACTCGGTTTAGTAGGTTTAGGAACTGAAAGGGATTGTTCACCCAAAAAGAAAAATTCTGTCATTAATTGCTTACACTCTTGTCATTCCAAACCATACTTTTTCATCTTCAGAACTTGAAATCTGAGAGCTTTCTGTCCTTCCATTGGCAGCTATGCAATGACGATCGCAACGTTCATAAAGATATCGTAAAACCAATCCATATGAATTTAGTGGTTTAGTCCAATTTTTCTAGAGAGACACAATTAATTGAAATGCTGAACAGATTTAATTTAGTCTTTTATTCATCAACTCACACATCCGTTGTGGTAAATGGAAGCTCAAGGATGTTCTCCTGATGTGCAGTGCGAGAACCAATTAGATTCATTCTCATGTTATGCAACACGTTTGAGCTTCTGCAAAAACCAATGAGGTTTCACGAATAAAAGGGAATATTTGTTCATCATATAAACCGCTTGATTCATATGGATTAGTTTTACAATCTCTTTATGAATTTCTTGATGCGTCAAAACGGTAGTTGTGTGGATTGTCAATGGAGGATAAGCAGGCTCTCCGATTTCACAAAGTCTGACGGGTTTGGAACCACATGAGGGTATGTAAATGCTGACGTAATTTTCATTCATGGGTGAATTATCCCTTTTTGTCTCAACTTGTGAGGAAAAACTATGTACCGTATTGTTCTGAATACAAGTCAATATTTTTTTTTAAGAAATACATCTGAAAAAACAGGGTTGTCTTATATTCATGGTGTAGACTCAGCTGCCTGTAGCTTTCTAGTAATCCTTAAGGCATTGATGTTCACCTGACCTTCAGGTTTGCTTGATTAGGGTTGGAGCAAAACTGCAGGACTGTGGCTCTCTAGGAACAACGTTCGCTACCCGTGGTGTAGACTTTTAAATGTCAATAATACACCCGCAACAATAGGTGGCGTCAAATACACGTAAAACGAGTGTGTCAGCATACAAATGTTAGATCACAAGTGCAAAAAGCGGTTCTTCTATAAACACAAACAGTCAAAGAAAAGTTTAGTCTCGTGAATGTCATGTTTGCGGGCCTCACTGACAGGACCAAAATTCCCTCGTACGTACGTGACTTAATGTTTGACGGTACCCCTGATTTCAGCATTACTACAATAAGTAGACTACAATAATCTTTTCGGAACATAACGGTAATGGTGGTACGCATCTGCTGTATGAATCTATTTTCAACTTTGTGAATTTCAGTACATGTATGGCATCTCAGCTGCTGTTGACAAAATGGGCACTGCTAGTCAACTTCAAGTATGTATAGTAATAAGGCACTTCAATCAAAATGCCTGGCTTGTGTAATTACTGTAAATGTAATTCAGAGTGTGTGTGAAGTGTGTAATTTCTGAATTAGCGCTAACGGCACCAAACTGATGCCATTGTGGTTGAGCCAGTGTTATGTCTGGCCTTGTCAGGCTGATCACAGAACAGATTGCAATTCTGTTTGGTGCCACTAGAGGCACTGAAATTACATTCTTCAACACCAACACTTAAAGTCCTCTTGTCAATAATTTTATCCCTTAACTAATTTTGGATCACCAAAATGACATATTTAAATGTTTTTTCCTTGAAAAAAAATACAGATTATTCATGCCATAAAATATCTTAAATGTAATTCTATACCCTTGATTGATTTAGTATGTGTCTCTTTATGAATATGCAAATCAGCCCCGCCTCCACTCACTCACACCAGCTCAGAGATCCACTCGTTGATGATCACACATTGACGAGATTGTTTTACATGTTTGTGACGAACAGCTGATTTCAAACTGTGTTTTTGAGACTGTCTTTGGTTCACTGCAGTTTTAAGGAGAAAATACTCAGCAAATGTGTTGACTGATGAATTTGCACATGGTTTGTCTTAAAGCGTATTAAAAACAAACAACATTAAAAGCTTGATTTTCAACACACGGGGACTTTAAGTTTACCTCATACCTCCCGCTCAAACTGATTGTGTGAATCTTCTGTAGTTAGCAATGGGTTAAATTGAGGGAATCTCTAATCAATATGTTGTGCTCGGAATGATCAATCTCATTGATTTTTGTGCAGCTGATCTTCTATACATGAAATCATACTAAATTACATTGAAGTGTGGGGTCTTTCACATTCAGTTTCTCTACTGCCTTTCTGAATTCAACGTTTAATTTTTTTCTTTGTCATATTTGCTTGTCTGCATTCAATTAACTGACTATCCTATTGATTAATGTAAAACTCCCTTGTGTGTACTAAATGTATTTAATAATGAAGGAAAGTATTAAATAAACTTGATCAGTGTATACATTTGTCAATTTGTTTGTAAAGTTGTTATTAAATTTACTTTCTACACTTGAAACGCTAGTGTAATTTGATGTGTTTATCTCAAATATAAGAAAAAGGAACATTGTCTTGTTACACTGATAAAGTTTCAATTAGACTGAAACCTTACATATATGTAAAAGATTTTCCAAGCCTAATAATATTCCATCTTAACAAATCTTAACATTGTTTTCTTTCTCTCTCTGTGTGTGTGTGTGTGTGTACATTTCCTGGTGTTTCAACAGCGTGAGAAGGTGAGTTTTGTGACAAGTTTACTCACTTTCCAATTAACAAAACTTTGAAGTTGATTATAATTTATCTTATGTCTATTAGCTCTATCATGACAATGAAACTGTTCATTTTTTTTACCTTACAGGAGAAAGAGACTGTTGATTGGTGGAGTAAGTTTTATGCTTCTGTTGGACAGAGTGAGAAATGCCGCCCATACCTTGACAAAGGTTATGACACATTACAAGTGAGTTCTGTCTAGCTCAACAATGTACATTATTTTATTGAATATTTTTTTTAATGTTACATTTAATAAATTACTGAATATCTTTATAGATTTAAGGTATGTTATTGCATAGACTACGGCTTTGAAAGCACCACGAAAGTTGTACTTCTCAAGCTGTACATTTGCTGTGTAAGGAACAGATTTTCGTTATTATATTCGATTTTCAAATGCGTCATTCACTGGAGATCATAATGTCCGCCCTGACTTTCCTTTGTGCGTTCATGAAGGGTCCTGAGAAGTGCAGATGTCTGATTTTGAACCAAATTTTTCTTTTGAATCTGATCTTTTGAATGAATGAGTTCTTAACACCAGGACTAATTAACTTGTTTAAGGATAATTCTGGTATTTAACACCTTGAGTCTATTTTGTAGTTTGTTTTGAATGAAATAGAGTGGTGGACTTAGAAATTTTAACAATGGGTCCTGTCTCGACTTTTTGACTATTTTAGAATTGCCTGTGACAGCTTTAGACTGGGTGTCTATGGGCATGCACAAACATGTCCATAAAACAACCCTTAATGTTCATTTTCAAAACTGTGCAACTCACAGAGTGGTTGACTCATTAGGGAAAAAGATTTTCCCTGAATAACAACTTCAATTTTGGTGTGTTCCTTAAACAAATCTATTGTATGAATTTAGAATACTTAGTTCCGCAAAGGTGAATTTTTACTGGAGTTCTAGTAATTGTAGCAATGTACTTGTTTTGTTGGTTTTCATAGGTTTATGACTGTGAGCTTGAAAGTGTAAATGAATTCATGGGTCTTACCGATTTCTGCAAAACATTCAAATTGCAACGTGGGAAAAAGGAATGTGACGATGATGATGATCCCGCTGTAGTTGGAGAATTCAAGGCAAGATGTTTTATTAATTTGGTCTACAAATGAATGGATTTTGTACTATTACATGCTACAATGTTTTATTTATTTATTTATTTATTTTTTTTTAATATTCTGTGTCAATTGGAAGTGTCACCATTATAGAATTAAAATGGGTTGAAAACAGCATTTCATGTTCTTGGTTGTATAAAATGTTATTAATGTTCAGTGTCACATGATCCTTCATAATTCATTCTAATATGCTGAGGCTAATTCTAATCTTTCCAATTGCTTGTTTTCAGGGCTCCTTTAAGGTCTACCCATTGCCAGATGATCCAGGGGTGGCTCCTCCGCCACGTCAGTTCAGAGAGCTGCCCGACAGCGTCTCTCAGGAGTGTGTGGTCAGGATCTACGTGGTTCAAGCCATCGACCTGCAACCCAAAGACAACAATGGCAAAGTACTTTTTACCATTTAGCATTTTAGAAAACTAATTTTGAGTTTCAGTTACTCAATTTGTTGAGTTCCTTCTAAGTAAAAAGAAAAAGCGACATTCATTTTCTGTTTCAGTGTGACCCATACATCAAAATCTCTTTGGGGAAAAAGTCTATTGAGGACAGAGACAACTATGTGCCGTATTCACTCAACCCAGTGTTTGGCAGGTAATAAATGCCATAGATTTATTGAGCATTCAGATGGTCAAGCTGTTGAAGAGGTCTGACCTATAACCGTTTTCTGTTCTCTCAACAGAATGTTTGAAATGACATGCTTCCTCCCACAAGACAAAGACCTGAAAATTGCAGTATATGACTTTGATTTGCTCACCCGTGATGAGAAAGTTGGGGAGACGGTGATTGACTTGGAAAACCGTTTCCTTTCTCACTTCGGTTCCTACTGTGGTTTACCCCAGACATACTGCGTGTAAGACCCATACAATTTACTTAACGCAAACTTAGTATTTTCATTGAGGACAACAGTAAAGACATTACTTAACTAATGTATTATCCATTAAATAGTTCTGGATTAAACCAGTGGCGCGATCAGCTCAAACCATCTCAGATTCTTGAACATCATGCCCGTTTGAAAGGATTGAGTCGACCCAGGAGTGAAGACAATGGAAACACTTTATCCTTTGGTGGCCGATTGTATTCCCTCTCTGACTTTGGTGATTTTAAAAGCTGTTTGTTCTTTTTTTACACCATTATGATGGCTTGACAAACTGTTAATGTGTTCACTTTCACTTTCAAAGCTGTCTAGTTATACCTTATATATATGCATTTCAGAAGCGAACAAGAAAATTCACGAACACCTGGGTCCGCCAAGTGAACGGCTCGCTCTGCACGTCCTCAGAACTCAAGGCCTTGTTCCGGAGCATGTTGAAACCAGAACTCTCTTAAGTAGCTTCCAACCGACTCTCCCGCAGGTGTGAGGCTGGTTCTTCCTGTGATACTTTATCGACCCCTTTTTGTTTGAAAGCAAGCTCAAAATACTGCTTTATCTGTTTTATAGGGAAAACTCCAGATGTGGGTAGACATTTTCCCCAAAAGCCTTGGGCCTCCTGGACCTCCTTTTGACATATCTCCTCGCAAAGCAAAAAAGTGAGATGAAATTGGTACTCTCGGTTCTACTTCTATGTTTATTGACGATTGACTCATGGTGAATATTTTTATCAGATACTTTCTGCGAGTCATCGTTTGGAACACGTCTGACGTAGTTTTGGATGAAACCAGCATTACTGGTGAAAATATGAGTGACGTCTATGTAAAGGGGTATGTAAAATGATCTTTGCTGTCTCTTAAGGCAAGACACTATTGACAAAACAATTTGTTTGTGAGATTTTAGGTTATTTTGCTTTCATAAGATGTTTTTTCAGACTAGTGGAAAGAAAACTTCCAAAATCCACATTTAAGTGTGCTGATTTGTTTTTTTACACTTTAAAAAAAATTATATATATATATAAAGTCTTTCTGTAGATTTCAATAACAGTACATATCTTTAAAAACTGTTTTCTCAAAAAGTGTTTTTCTCAAACAATGAGCCAAAAATCTCCACTTCTGTAGCACTGACATACAAAAACTTTTACCTATCTATATACTGAAGGATTTTACAGAGGGTTTTGTTCATATCGTTCCCCTGATTGATTTATTTAACATTTAAGAAACATGAAACAAACATTTTGAACCTGGCTTTATCTTCTGTATGCGAATGAGTTCATAGTTCTAAAGATACAGTGTCATTTGCATATTCAAACACAATGTTTTTAGACAAATTTTTTTCTTAATGTACTATGATTAAAAGATATCCCCATATTTCTTTGATTGATAGGTTAAATTTCTAGCCTTAATCACTTGGTGTAGTGCCCCTATTATGCTTTTTTTAAAGATTCATAATTTTGTTTTGGAGGTTTACATCCATCCAAGCTCAAAAAAACACTTAAATTTTCTCAATATACATTGCAGCATTACCTCTTTTCTAACAGCGCCTGAAGGTTTCTGTTTCTCTAAACCCCTCCAATCCGAGAGCATACTCTGCTCTTAAATGTCAGATTTTTTTTAGTCAGATTGTGATTGGTCTAGTGGTGTCAGAAACGAAACCGCCATTACCATATCTGAATTTCAGCTCCAGAGGCTTCCTCAGCACTTGAAACACAGTGATTCGAACAGAAACGATGGCTTTACAGTATCAATTCGAACCATAGTCCTCATCCTTCGCAAGTGGATTTGCTTTCGTAGGGCAGAACGGTGTCTTCTCTACATGTCGGCAACATGAAACAAACTCTTCTAGGCCTCAGCTTCAACTAGTGTTTGAGGGCGAGTCAATGTAGACAGTGTTCACGGGCAGCCATGAGGACCTTAGCTTAGGCAGTAGCACCTCATTGCAGTACAGGAGATCCAGGGGGCGGAGTCAGATCCAGATCTGAGGGGTGGAGTTGGGTAGGTTTAGGTATATGTAAGGTGGGAGGAGTTGGATCTGGATCCGACTCCTCCCTGTGGATTTCATGTTGTGCAGTGAGGACCATCTCGCCTTAGGCTGGGATAATGCAAATTTGTTACAAGCCTGAAACATGCGTAGGTTCGAGCAGGAAATAAGACTGGAAATGCTAATTTTTGGAGACGAGAACCATCTACACTTTGATCTTTGATGTTTTTCAAAATCTTTTACATTAACAAATGGCTATATTATTCACCACATGAAAGGTAATATGCAAAAAAGCCTAATGGGGCACTTGAATGTGTTTTTACGAATACATTTTTCAATACATTCATGCATTTGTGTCTTTTGTTAGTTGGATGCCAGGTATGGAAGAAGATAAGCAAAAAACAGATGTCCATTATCGTTCTTTGGATGGCGAAGGAAATTTCAACTGGAGATTTGTCTTTGGATTTGAATACCTGCCTGCGGAGCAGCTTTGTCTTGTATCTAAAAAGGTAATTTAGATTGGCTGTTTAATATGTGTAATGAAAAGCACTGGGATGTATTGAAATATTCTGTTTCTTTTACAATAAAAAAGGAACATTTCTGGAACCTCGACAAATCAGAGTTTAGAATCCCACCCAAGCTGATTGTTCAAATATGGGATAATGACAAATTCTCACTGGATGATTACTTAGGTGAGATGTCTGTATGCAGCTCCTTTCTGAGGTTTTGGCAATTTTATTTTTCTTTACATTTGTAGGTCCTCTTGTGTATTATATATCTTGTGTTACAGGTGCGATTGAACTTGATCTGCACCACCTCATCAACCCTTCCAAAACACCCGAGAAATGTAACCTTACCATGGTGCCGGATGGAACTACGCATCCAAAATCAGACCAGTTCAAGTCTCTTTTTGACCAGAAGACAGTTAGAGGATGGTGGCCATGTTACATGGATAAAGATGGGAAGAGGGAGCTTGGTGTAAGCACAGCTAATGCAAATAATCGTGTTCCTGTATGGTGCAGTATGACACAAATTTTTCATGATCCACTCAATTCCCAATGCATCTTAAATCCTCTTATTTATTTATGTGTTTGTTTAACAAGTTTCAGCTTGAAAAGTGGTGAACATTTACTTTAGAGACTTCCACTTTGCGATATTACTAGTCAACACCATTGTGACTATATTAGTTTGCTAAAAAGTATTCCCTACTTAAGCAAGGTGCTATTTGAGTCCTGTTCAATAGGAGCAGACCCATTGACTTCCATAGTATTTTTTTGCCTACTATGGAAGTCAATGGGGTCCATCAACTGTGTTCCTTAAAATTGGTGCTTGTTTATGTTGTTTCAGGGAAAGGTAGAGTTGACTTTGGAGATTGTGAATGAGAAGGAAGTGGATGAGAGACCTGCTGGAAAAGGCAGAGATGATCCCAATATGAATCCGAAACTGGATCCTCCTAAGTAACTTAGTTCTCGCTTTATATATGTTTATTGTTCTGAGTGTTAACAGAAGATGACCTCAAGATTTGTTTTTCTTTTAAACCTTTCAGGCGACCCGAAACCTCGTTCTTTTGGTTCTCAAGTCCGTGCAAGACGTGCAAGTTCATAGTGTGGCGAAAGTTTAAGTGGATGTTCATCGGCCTGATTGTGCTGGTCTTAGTGCTATTATTCATTGGGATCTTGTTGTATTCATTACCAGTAAGGACGCACTTCATCAATCCTTTCACAGAGGTTATGTTCAGACTTTTCACTTAAGATGTACAATGCTAATTAATTTATTTTTTTGTTTTTTTCAGAACTACATCTCCATGAAAATCGTCAAACCCTTCAATTGAGTGCAGGAGGAGTTCAACTTTTTGTTGTTTTATCCATGCAATGTATTTGGCATGATCAGGGTTTCACGCAGTTAACAGAAAGGGTTCATACAGACAATCAATACAGTGTTTGCTTTGTTGTGGTTGTTAATTTTTCATGTGGTTGTTTAGGTTTTTCCATTAATCACTCTTTTGCACCCTTTATTCAATTTTACCATGAATTTTCACTTTTTTTGTTGAGGTTTCACTGATGTTTGGCAACATTTGTACACAAACCATGAAGTGTTTTCTATTGTGGAAATATTTTATTGTTTTATATTCTCAGATCATTTTAAAGTTATAACATTGTTAAATAAAGACACAATATGTTTGTTTAAATTGTGTCCATTTGTTTTTGTGTCAATTTAAATTGTCCAAGTGTAAGTCTAATATTGGTACTGATATATTCTGCATATTCATGTACTGGAAAGAAATTCATTGAACTGGTCAGAAGATTAATGGTAAATATTTTGCCTTGTCGGAGTAGCCGATTTACACCTTGACCATGGCCTAGAATGGGTGTTGCATTTTTGTAACTATTTGACGAGGAAAGAAAAAAAAAATCAACTTTTGTTATGGTTCACTCTCCTGTAATATTTAGCTGTCAAGTTGCATCCCTTTTATCATTTGAAAACAAACTTGTGTTTTACACCAGAAGTCTAATAATTTCTGGCATATTTGGTTGTCTCTTTAGAATTTTCTTTGGATTGTATGTTGAATGCCTTTCTTTTGATTTCTGGTCCTACCGCCCTTTACTGCTGTTTAGTTAACCTTTTGATGTCACAGGTCGAGGGGAGGAACGCTCGGGTGACCAACCACCCCCCCTCTAACTGAGTCACCACCGTGAGGAGCCGACACCACAGGCACACAACAGAGGACCCGGAGACAGAGATAAATTTCAAAGGAGTAACAATCTTTATTAAGCCAAAGGTTTCTCACAGTTCAAGAGACTCTCGTCGATGTATGATGATGGAGCAGGGGGGTTAAAGCTTACTTCTCCCCAGCGGTGCTGCAGACTTCCAGACTCAGACAGTAAGTATGGCAGGTAAGGATTCTTCACAGTACAGAGTACTCTCGTTGGTGCATGATAATAAAGCAGTGGATTAAAAGCTTACTTTTCCCCAGCGGTGCTGCAGACTTCCAGACTCGGACAGTAAGTATGGCGGGTAAGGATTCTTCACAGTACAGAGTACTCTCGTTGGTGCACGATAATAAAACAGTGGATTAAAAGCTTACTTTTCCCCCAGCGGTGCTGCAGACTTCCAGACTCGGACAGTAAGTATGGCGGGTAAGGATTCTTCACAGTACAGAGTACTCTCGTTGGTGCACGATAATAAAACAGTGGATTAAAAGCTTACTTTTCCCCCAGCGGTGCTGCAGACTTCCAGACTCGGACAGTAAGTATGGCGGGTAAGGATTCTTCACAGTACAGAGTACTCTCGTTGGTGCACGATAATAAAGCAGTGGATTAAAAGCTTACTTTTTTTTTCCAGCAGTGCGGCAGACTTCCAGACTCAGACGGTAAGTATGGCAGGTAAGGATTCTTCACAGTACAGGGTACTCTCGTGGGTGCACGGTAATGAAGCAGTGGATTAAACGATTACTTTATCAGCGTTGCTGTATACTGCTGGGCTCAAACAGTAAGTAGAACAGGTGAGGATAGTCACAGTACACAGTACTCTCTCTTCAGTTCACAATAGGGAGACAGTGAGTCATAAGGTTACTTTACCAGTGGTGCTGTATGCTTCTGGGCTCAAACAGCAAGTAGAACAGGTGTGGATCTTCACAGTACAAAGTACTCTCTCCTCAGTTCACAGTAGGGCGACAGTGGGTTAAACGATTACTTTATCAGCGTTGCTGTATACTTCTGGGCTCAAACAGTAAGTAGAACAGGTGAGGATAGTCACAGTACACAGTACTCTCTCTTCAGTTCACAATAGGGGGGCAGTGAGTCATAAAGTTACTTTACCAGTGGTGCTGTATGCTTCTGGGCTCAAACAGCAAGTAGAACAGGTGTGGATCTTCACAGTACAAAGTACTCTCTCCTCAGTTCACAGTAGGGCGACAGTGGGTTAAACGATTACTTTATCAGCGTTGCTGTATACTTCTGGGCTCAAACAGTAAGTAGAACAGGTGAGGATAGTCACAGTACACAGTACTCTCTCTTCAGTTCACAATAGGGGGACAGTGAGTCATAAAGTTACTTTACCAGTGGTGCTGTATGCTTCTGGGCTCAAACAGCAAGTAGAACAGGTGTGGATCTTCACAGTACAAAGTATTCTCTCCTCAGTTCACAGTAGGGCGACAGTGGGTTAAACGATTACTTTATCAGCGTTGCTGTATACTTCTGGGCTCAAACAGTAAGTAGAACAGGTGAGGATAGTCACAGTACACAGTACTCTCTCTTCAGTTCACAATAGGGGGGCAGTGAGTCATAAAGTTACTTTACCAGTGGTGCTGTATGCTTCTGGGCTCAAACAGCAAGTAGAACAGGTGGAGATCTTCACAGTACAAAGTACTCTCTCTTCAGTTCACTGTATCACTCTGGGCTTCTGACGGAGGCAGATATAATAACCTTCCACGAACGTGTAAGCATGGATGGGGGCCACTTCTCAACAAAGACACAGCACACTTGTGTTCCTTCAATTCCACAGCAATAAATCAATGTGTATCAATAAGGCAAAAGCACTGCAATTCACTCACACGATAGGGTTGGACAGAGGCCCCACTCCGGCCGTTGCGCTCGTTTACAGGGTTTTCACTTTTAATTCCTCCTCATCACACTCTGAAACACATAGCTCCTCCAACAGTCAGATCCACATTCACTGTATCCTCTTCAAGTGGTTCAAATGTTCATAAGATGAAAACAATTCACTTATCTTTCCTCTCTCCTTCCACAGCACAGATCCAGCCCCAGCTCGGTCCAGCAGTCTTCCCACAAACGATCAATCTGACCCAGCAAACTCGAATGGGCGATCTCCACACTCCAACGATTTTTCCAAGGAAGCCTGTATCCAGCACTGCCCAGAGTCAACCCTTTGGAATCTTGACACACTGTGCACCCACCAACCGCACTGCAAACACTCTCTAAATGCTCCTTTTATATTGTGGCTTATGAAACAGGAAGCCTGTGTGAGCGCCGCTCCTCTCTCTCTCACACCTGCCATGCATTAGCGCTAATCAGTACGGGCATGTTTCCATCACACCCGGAACCGTAGTGGAGTGTTGCACCCAATACGTTCCCCTAGGAAACTCAGGACTCTCAAGAAGGTTCCGTTTACTGAGCGATTTTGTCACCCGTGACATCCCCCCTTGCCAATCGGTTCCAGTCCCTGGAACGGGCGTCCCTCAATTCCATTCGCCGTACCTCTCAGGTGGTTGTCCTCGGGTGTTCCGTTGAGATCGTCGGGGTGGCGAGGGCAGAGCCGCTCTGGCTTCAACCTCAGGGTCCCTCGGGACCACAGCCCACCCTATCATAGGTGCCTCTAAGGCGGGTGGTGCACTTGGAGCCTCAGCCGCTAGTTGCGGGTAGTTCGGGCAGGGACGGAGCAGGTTTCGATGGAGCACCCGTATTGGTCCGGGCTTCCCTTCGGGCCGTACAGAGTAGACGGGGGCATCAGGCCCTTGTCGTTGTTCCACCACATATGGCGTCGACTCCCAGCGGGCACTGAGCTTTCCTTTCCCTGGGCGCCGGTTGTCCCATACCAGCACTCGCTCCCCAGGTAACAAAGGGGCCTCTCGGGCAGTCCGGTCGTATAGTCTCTTATTCTTGGCGGCTGCTGTACTCAGATGGTCTGAGACTCGTCGGTAGGCATTGAGCAGTTGGTGGTGGTGCCGATTTACCCAGTCAGTGGTACTATACCCTCTTTCCACAGCCTCGGTCCCCATGAGCAAGTCCACAGGCAAGCGGAGGTGGCGCCCAAACATAAGGTAGGAAGGAGCATAACCGGTGACACTGTGCACACTGTTGTTGTATGCTTGTAACAGCGAGGGAAGACTCTCGGCCCATTGGCCCTGTTGCTCACTCTCTAGGGTCCCCAGCAACCCCAGCAAGGTCTGGTTGAATCTTTCGCACCCTCCGTTACCCTGAGGGTGGTATGAGGTCGTATGGGTCTTTCGGCACCCATAGAGGCGGCTCAGCTCTTGGATGACCCGGGACTCGAAATTTGAACCTTGGTCCGAGTGTAGGGTTTCTGGGCAGCCAAAAGGTTGTATCACTGCTCTCCAAAGGGCGTTGGCTGTGGTAACTGCCGTTTGATCGACGGTGGGGACGGCCCAGGCATATTTAGTAAATAGGTCCGTCATGACCAGAATATTCTGGAATCGGTCTGTTGGTCGACCCAGAGTCAGGAAATCTATCCCTACGATATGCAGAGGTGCTTTCGGTCGCAGGGGGACCAATGGGGCTCGGACCTCCTTCCTGCGTTTGAACAAGGTACACCGTGGGCAGCTCTGAACAAATTCCTCAACTTTCTTTTCCATCCTAGGCCAGTGGAAATACCTCCTCAGCAGGGACAGTGTCCTCTCTTGGCCCTGATGACCAGTATGGGTGTGATAGGCATTCAACAGCTCCGAAACTTGGCCCTCTGGTACAACAACTTGGTGTACAGTCTCCTGTGTGCGGGGATCCCGTCTTGAACGACAAATTACTCCTTCTCGGAGTTGCAGCCTCTTCCACTGTCTCAGAAGCTGTCGTACCCCCACCGTCTGAGACCGTCTTTCCTCTGCCCTCGGCATGTTTCCCTGTCGGAGGTACAACAGGAGCTGACCCAAATCCGCATCTCTCTGCTGCAGCTCTCTCCACCGTCCGGGGTCCCACCCCCAACTAGATGGAACAGACTCCGGGGCCCCGGGAGCTTCCACCACGGCCACCAGCAGCTCATCTTCGGTACCAAGGGCACCGAGGGGTGCTTGATCGTCCCTCTGGGTGGCTGGGAGTCTGGACAGGGCATCTGCATTTACGTGCTCTCTGCCGGGACGGTATTTTAGCTGGTAATCATAATTTGCTAGCTGTGCCACCCAGCGCTGCTCCACTGCCCCCAATTTAGCGGATTGCAAGTGTACTAAGGGATTGTTGTCTGTAATCACCGTTACCTTGGCTCCCCACAAGTAGTCTTTAAACTTCTCCGTCATGGCCCACTTCATCGCCAGTAGTTCGATTTTAAAGGAGCTATAGTTTGCAGCGTTTCGTTCGGCGGGATGTAAACTTCGACTTGCGTAAGCTATCACTCTCTCCACTCCTTGATGCTCTTGGGCCAGCACGGCCCCCAATCCTGCATTGCTGGCGTCAGTGTACAGGAGAAACGGCTGGGTGAAATCTGCATAGGCTAAGATTGGGGCCTTCAGGAGTTCCTGTTTAAGGTTCTGGAAAGCGGTCTCACAGGTGGAATCCCAGTGTACTGAGGGGGAGCCTTTACCACGGGCACGTCCAGTGCCAGCCAAGAGTTGGTTCAGTGGCTTAGCAAGCCCAGAGAATCCCTTTATAAAGCGACGATAATATCCCACAAAGCCCAGGAACGACCGCACCTGTCTTACTGTCCGGGGTGG